TTGCCTTTCTATTGTCATGATGTTCAAAAGTTCTGCTGTATTTTTGAGTTTCTACATCTGATTGATTGTTGAAGGATCTGAATTATAAGAATTGGTTTTAAACTTGATAGATATGGAATATATGTTTCCCATTACTCTTATGTACTTTTATAATATCTAGCATTAGATGGTTTGCAATTAATTTTGAAATGGTTAACGATGCATCTTCTATTCATTTGAGTACTGATTCAGTCTGGATAAATTCATGTGTTCATATCTCACATCAACACTGTTAAGGTAGACTTGTTCCTAAGTTCTGTGCTGTGCTGTTCTGGTCGACAATGTCCATGCACTTATTACATGCTTTTTTGTTTGTCAAGTGGACAAGGTAAGGTATCTACGACCTATGGTAGAAACAAGATTCTGGTTTATTTTTCTATCCCCGATCACCACCCCGCATGGTAGTGTCTGGTTGGAAAATACGATATGTCCTTTTTTCCTTACAGGAAAGGAAAAACCTTTTCTCAAGTGCATACAATACAGATAAATGTATGTACAGTAGTCACTCGTAGCAGATGCACTGCCTGGATCTTGTCTTCCTGCTTCGTAGCTTCAACCAATTCATTTCTGTAACCTATCTTTCTCTATGTATATTTCAGAAAAACATTGAGGGGAGAAAACTTTTCAAAGCCCACTTTGAAGCAATGGAATCTCAAACAAAGACAAATGGATCATCCTCATCCAGTTCTACGGAGAAGCCACCTGATGTTCTGAAGAGCCCGGAACATTCCCCTGAACTTACGAACGATGTAAAAGCCAATGGAACAGCCAATAAGGAGGTCCCTCTGGCCAATGGTGTGCCAGAAGAAGCTGTTTCAGGCATGCCAGCCACCACGAGTACTGAAGCTGTGCCTGTTAAGGCCCCTACCAGAACACAGGTTGATCCAGTTTCAAACAAAGATCATGGATCAAGTTTGACAGCGCAACCAATTGGAGCAGCTCCGAATAGCTCAAAATCAACTCCAACTGATACAGATAAAGATGTTCCTCTTCCTTCAAGATCGCCACGAATCAATAGAGCTGCTCCAGTTCCCCCCAAATCGCCTCCAACTGATAAAGCTACACCAGTTCGTCCGAAATCCCCACCAGCTGAAAAAGCTACTCCAGTTCCTCCAAAATCTCCGCCAACTCATAAAGCTACTCCAGTTCCTACAAAATCTCCGCCAACTGATAAAGCTATTCCAGTCACTCCAAAATCTCCACTGACTGATAAAGCTACTTCAGTTCCTCCGAAATCTCCACCAGCTGCTAAAGCTGCTGTGGTTCCTCTGAAATCTCCAGCGACTGATAAAGCTAATCTGGTACCTCTAAAATCTCCATCAGCTGGTAAATCTTCTGTAGTTGTACCCATAACACCACCATCTGCTAAGGATGCTGGCACTCCTTCAAGATCACTGCAAGTTGATAAATCCATACCAGCCCCCCCAAGACTACCACAAGTTGATAAAGCTGCTCCACTTCCCTCCGCATCGCCACAAACTTCTTCCACCACTTATTCAGAAGCTCGGGAAGAGACTACTCCTATAAAGGTTACATCCACCAGAGTTTCTGAGGTTGCTGTCACAACATCAAGGCCTTCAAGTGCCCCTGTATTCCCTACACCAAGAACAACTGTACCAGCTACCCCACAAGTTCAAGTTTCTACATTGCTTCCGCGCTCAGCGAGTGAAGCAGCTGGAAGATCAGGAAATGATCCTTCCCCTTCTGCCCCAGCGTATGTTCCACAGACCTACCGTAATGCCATCCTTGGTAAGCCTGGTCTGGGTACATCCTCTTCAATTCTTTCATATCAGTCAACTACTCTGGGACAAGGTACTGCACTTTCGCAGCCGCTATCAACATATGCATCAACTGCGTCACTAATGATGCCTCCTGCTGGGAGGAACGATCAGTTGTTGTCAGCTAGGCATGGATTTAAATCTGGGTTGGGGAATTCAGATACACTTGATAGTTGGCAACCATGGAAAGGTGATAGTAGCATCAACAATCATCTCTGGAGGGACGATTCCCCTTACCAACGGACGACAAATGGTCATGCGTATCAACAAACTTGGAAAGATGATGCTTATCAGCAGACACGCGGTACTGAAACAGAAAACTTCAGCAGGTTTGGAGGATTGCAACCACCTAGACAGACTCCTGTCAGTTTTGTCATGCAGCAGCCACATGCGCCCGTGGCTGAAGAATATCAGCACCTTGACATCATCAATGATTTGCTCGACGAGGGACAGAGCAATGGCAGTAAGGCCGAGCCTATGCGCCATGATTACCATGCCTATGGTCTGCCATTTTCGCTGAGAGGCAACATAGCAGATTCAGAAATGGCTTCTGTTAGCAGTCCAGGGCGGTTTAGCAGAGGCAGCTTGGCAGATTTGGATATGGCCTCTGTCAGTAGTTCCAGGCGGTTTAGCAGAGGAAACTTGGTAGATTCTGAGATGTCTTCTGTGGGCAGTCCTGGGCGGTTTAGCAGAGGCAGCCTGGCAGATCCTGAGATGATGGCTTCTGTCAGCAGTCCCGGTCGGTTCAATTCCACGGACCGGTACTATGATGATGGGTTCTCGAGGGCCTATGACATGAGCCCTCTCCAGGGGGCGAGGGAGATGCAGTTCTCCTCGCTGGACACATACGGCACCAATGGTGGCCTGTCCGACATGAGCACATCAAAGCCATGGCTGTATGGCGGGCATAGCCCTGTGAATCCGTCATCGATGAATCTCGGATCGCTGAGCACAAACGGGTTCCCGCAGCACCACCACCAGATGGGGGACTACAGCAGCAACCTGGCGAGCGGGGTGAACGGTGTGGGCTCTGCCGCAGCCGCGTATCGGCGCCAGGCCAACAACGGGCGCTGGTGATGCGATGGGATGATATATGCCTGTATACAGTCAGTCTTACAGTCGAAGGAAATAATGCTTGTTGTAACAGATGCTTGTGCCGCCATGGGCATGTAATTTGAAACCTTTAGCTTTAAAAAAGGGGAGAAAAGAAAAGGGATACAGTTTACATTTCCGTAAAGCGCTCTCGTCGTCTGCTTTAAAAGCTTGCAGTTGAGTGCCTGACTGACTGACTGACTGACTGGAGTGAACGCGTCATCAGGCGCCGTTCTAACCTTTCCTCGGTCCCTTCAATCGTCGAAAATGTTGGGATTTGTGCGTCGGTCGACGGTCGCTGCCTAGTGCCTACTACAGTACGTAGCAGGGGCCAACAAAAGAAGCCGGCCAGGATGGAACGCTTTTGGTTGGTCGGGTCATTCGGCGCCCGCCTACCACCAGGTTCCATGGCGCGAGACGATCAGACGAGTCAAGGAAGGCGTGCATTGTTGACGCGACGGGGGACGCGGGCCGAGAAGATCGGAAGACGTCGCCGGGAACCCGCACATGGCTGCTGGCCCTTGCAGTTGGATTCGAGGTGTAGAAAGAAATGCACTAACAAATCTGGTCTGGGCGGTGGGCAGCAAAGTCAAAACTGCCCGCGCCCGATCATTTCACCCGTACGCTTTCTTTCTTTCTTTCTCTCGCCAGCCACCAACGGCCCCTCACCCTGCACACCACCACCAACCACCACCGCGCGCTCCTCTCCTCTACGCCGTACGCGCGCCGTCGCGAGGCCGCGGAACGTACCGTACCGTCCATACATATACACACAGCCAGAGCCAGGCCTTCCTTCCTCCCTTGCACGCCGCGGCCGCCGAGTGCAGTGCAGACTGCTTCCCACCCGGCGAATCCCGGGCCCTGGCCGTCGCCATCGCCGCCGCCCCGGCCGCGCATTCCGTCCGCTCCGCTCCGTAGCTAGGGGCACGCCACTGTACCGCCTGTCCCCGGTCCCCCGGGGGGCTCCAGGATTTCCGACCCACCCTCGGGTGGGTTGTCCAGAAGCATCGACGACCCGCTCCCGCTCCGTATAAACAAATCCACGCCGCACCCTCCTTCCTCTTCCTCCCTCGTCGCCTGATC